TCGAATGTCGACAGAAACTATTATGACCAAAAGATACTTATGCGTATAAACAATACTTTCTCTGCTGGTTTGCCTATTGTTCATTCGAATGCAGAATTTTCAACCTTAGTGAACTCAAACACTTTGCAAGTATAACGTTGAATTAGTTGACGCAAACTTTGTTCCTGTAAAACTTTTATGTCTATGTATTTGTCAATGACGGCAGAAGTTTCGAATTGGAAGATGCAACTGGTGAAAGTATTGTATTACAAGAACAACTTCAACAACAAATAGCTCAAGAAAACAAATGCAACAAATGCAACAACAAAGTCAAGAATAAAAAAAATATTTTTTTATTTTTATAAAAATGTACAGAATAGATGTTTTCAGATTTTTATGACTTTCCAAGCATTCAGAAATATGTGTCCATTTTCGAGACTATAACAAAGCAGTCGAGAATTTTGAAACGTTTAGTCATTTATGTCGACTCTGCCCCAGAATGTTATGTTATGAAAGAATGGGATGTAGTCTTTAACAAACCTAAAGCGACAATAGTTTCAGAACAAGAATGTAGACAGAAACTTAAGAAAATAAAAGTCGTACAAGTTGGCATGAAAGATGTTAGATGCTTGGATATCTTATTGTCAAAGTTAGAAGATTTTTCAGTTCGAGGTATAAAGTTCTATACACCTTCTCCAAACTTCTATTCTTATCTTCACTGGATATAAATACGAACAAGTAGAATGGAAAGAAATATTATAAGAAGCTTGGTTAGACCATGTCAAAGAAATATATGCAATGGAAACGAAAGAGTCTATGAGTATATCTTATGTTGGTTTGCAAACATCTTACAACATCCAAGTGCTAAAATGAAACTGCTCTCATTATAATTGGAAAACAAGGAAACTGGTAAGAACACATTCTTTACAGATATTTTGTGCAAACTGTTAGAAGGTTATTCGAATCCGAATATGACAAACTTAGAAAACATCTGTGGCAAGTTTAACTCCTCAATAGAGAATATGAAACTTATAGTTTGCAATGAACTTCAAAGTATAGATACAACAAAAGTTTTTGAACTCAGATGGCTTTGAAGAGTCTTATAACAGACAAAGTTGGAGTTGTTGAAGAAAATATAAAGACCAAAGAGTTTTTGTGAAAATGTTGCAAACTTCATTATGGTTTCAAACAATTTGTTCCGATGAAGTTAGAAAGTTCTGACAGAAGATATGTAGTTGTCAGAACGTCAGATTCTCATATGCAAGATACAGAATATTTTGACGACTTAGCAGAAACTTTGACATCTGACTTTTACAACCACTTGTTCTCATATTTCATGACATTAGATATTTCTAAGTTCAATCCAAGACAAATTCCACATACCGAAGAGAGACAAACATTGTTAGAAGCAAACAAGAGTGTATATGAACTGTTTCATAGATGAAACTGACTTTGAGTGTTTAGATGAAAGGTCATTGTACGATTCGTATAAACAATATTGTCAAGAATATGGTTATATGGCAGCGTCTAAACGAACATTCTTGGCAAATGTCAAAAATCTTTTAGACGTACAGAACGGCGTATATACAAAGAAAAATTTTTTGAGTAAATTTTAAAAAAAATATTTTTTTATCCGATAGAAAAGATGGAAATATTCATCTCAGTAAACAAGTACATGTCAGGACTTAAAGAAGAACTAGACCCATTCACATATTTGAATGTTTAACTTCTACCATTTTGAAAGTCTTCATTCAGCAAGTTTGGAACATCGAACCAGTTAAGTTTGCTATTGTGACTAAAAATGGTGCGAAATTTGAAGACTTAGACATAGAAGGTTTGTTAGCAGTTCAAAGAAAGTTTTGACAGAGGTTTTCAAACCTTAAAAGAAGCAAAGAATACAAACTTGTTATACTTATGAACCAAAAAGAAAGCAGACGACTATGAATATTATGAGTCTAAGATAGTTGAAGTTCAAGGTAAATTGGGTAAAAAGATTTTAGAGTCTAAGCCAGTTGTTTACTCCTAAAGAGGAAGAGAACAATTGACATTGACCCAGAAATGTTTCTAAAAAAAAATTTTATTTTTACATGTCAAATTTCTTTTTCTCTGGCTCTGGTTCTTTTTCTTCTTCTTCTCTACTTTCTTTTCCTTCTTTCTTTCTTTTCTTTTCTGGTGGAGTTATTGTTCAAATTGGTGGCGCAAACTATATTTATGTAAAAGTTCTTTTCTTTAATAGCTCTTCTATTCTGTTTTCTATTTCATCTTTCAAGAACAGCGCATGTGTCTTTCTTTGCATTTAAGAACTTTTGTTGGGACTTCATCTTTCCAATCGGTTGTCATCTCTGTCACACAAGTCTGTCATTGACAAATTTTAAGACTTTCTTGCTGCTTTAATGTTTTATGGTTCTTGTCATTATTCCCGAAACAGAACTTTAGAAACAATTCACCTTTCTTGTTTAACACTATGTAAGATTTTATGGTCGACAGTTTTTGCTGTCGAAAAGCTTGTCTCGAAGTATAGATAGCGAAATCGCTAGACATTTTCTAAAAGATAAAAATTTTAATTTTTCTAAAAATATGTTAGAAAAAAAAAGTTTGCATGACATTGACAAGAAATTGAGAATGTTTTTAAACAAGAACAAGAAGGAAGTTAGAAAATGCTCAGATAAAACCCTATTACATGACAAGTTCTATTTGCTCAGGAATGGTTATAACAGGTCTAATTGCCACCACCTGGGTCGGGTAAAACTTTCACTATCTTAAAATGGCGCTGCCACAACAACAAGAACTAGATGAGGAAAGAAACCCAATTACTATGAGTTAAGTTGTCATTTGTAGTACTTCTGGTCAATTTGACTCAATACGTCAATCGTTCAAAGATATTATAAAAGAAGTCTAAGTTATAATGTATAAAAGACCTCTGAGTTGTTAGATTGGATAAAGAAAGTACCAAGAAGGAGTTTTTGAAAGTATATATGCTATAAATGTAGTATATAAATTTCTAAGTTTAAAGACCCTAATGAGGGAAATGCAGAGAATATTAGAGAAGAAAACACTTTCAGAAACAAACAAAGAAAGAGATAGAATACATTTCTGAAAAATTGCAATTCTTACGATTGAAGACTTTACCCTGCATTAGATGTCTTTCTTATCTTAGATTGACTTTGCTCGTCATCCTTTTGCCTTAAGGGAAAGTAGAGAAAACAGATATGTGTCGAATTCTTAAGAAGCTCAGACCACTTTTTAACATATTTCCAGTCGTAATATGTGTACAACAGCAAAGAGTTTAATTAAAGGATTGTAAAGAGAATACTTATCTGACCATTGTTACTTTTCCCCGGATTGTCCGAAGACGATTTCATGGAACTTATGAAAGAGTCCATGGCAGGTAAGTTTGACAAGATATTGAACTATGGGAGGAAGTAACAAAGTCATACAAGACCCTCATACTTCTTTCAGAATTCATATCTTTAAAGCAAACAAAGTTCAAAATTGTAAAAAAAGTCAAGCTGAAAAAATAAAGAGTTCATTTACTCTACTTGTGTTGAAGTTGTCAAAATTACTCTTGTTATTTTTTCTTTAACAATGACAAATCTTCTTTGAATGTAAGTATTGTACAACCTTTAATATCATAGTGTGTTTGAGGTAACGTATCGTTGAACGTATTTGTTTCACATCTTCATTCGTGTCATTGAAATCGGTAAGTTTTTCGCGATAGAAACCAATTTCTGTCAGATTTAGTAAATCTTAGCAAGGTCGTAAAAGCTTTTGTTGTTTCTTCTGACTAAATGCAACATAAACCATATCTTTATCTTCTTCTTTCTCCAACTCTTCAGTATAAATCAATATACTTATAGTTCTTTTCCTTTCCTTTTGGTACCGAACGTGGTATTCTTTTCCTGAATGTTTTTGTCTTTTGCTTCAATGACTTCATCTTTTGCTTGAAGTTTCTTTTCCATCTCTTCACGTTCTTGTCTATGAATTTCCGTCAAGAAGTTCTGTAAATATACCAAGCATAACGAGGCGAAGCCCACATTGCAACAGCATTTACAAGAAGTCTATGTACATACCAAACCTCTCAAACCATTTGGCAAATTTTTACGATTTTTCATGAGTTTTAGGCGACCCGAAAAAGTCGGTCTCGCTGTGCTTCGCTCAAAAAGTTCTTGGTGTGCTTTGGTTTTTGAACCAATCGTCTGTATGTTTGGTTATCTGGAGCAAAACATGCTGTCAAAATACTTTGCATCTGGTACATATCGTCTTTGACCGAACGAATGAGACGGAGTTGTTTGTTTGACCATAAAACTGAACCGAA